AGCTAATTACTCCAATCAAAACGGGATCCTTTGACTTTTCAGGTTTTGTAGTCACTAAGTCCCAACAGCTATAACCAACGGATCACTACACTTCAGGACAACTTTCTACCACAGTACCACCAGCCAGTATCACGATGTACTTTATGTGTTTCCAACTAGGTGATGAAATTGTATTTGAAGTGAGTCAGATGCCTTGTTCATAGTCAAATACTGCATTTCAAAAACTCAAGACAATAATGATGACAAGATGAACTATTATTTTATGCCACTTAGAAAAAACCTGATAACCTTTTTCTCTCATTAATTTGTGAAAGATATTTTAAATGACAAACCAATGATATGCTAACAATGCATGTAACTCAAATTGTAACAGTCTGGGAAGCCATGATGCTTATGAACTGGTAAGTACATCAGGACTACAACCTAGCTGGTAGCAACTTTAAGATGCCATTGATTACAATATACATCACAATTTTAGGCATTCAGACACAATTTCAGACATTAAAAGAAAATGGATGTCTTAGAAGCAATATATTATTCACTTAATAAAGCTCTAGTAGGAACAGCAGACTAGTGATAAACTCTTGGCAGGAGACTTTTTTGAAAATGAGTGACAGACTCAATTCTTAAGGACTCTGATGGGTAATAATAGGAATGACAAAAATAGTCAAATAACTATAGTACAAGATAGGATTTAATTTAGATAAACTGCTATGGAATTCAGATACCCTGCTAAAGGAATTTAGAGAAGAAGAGGAAATTACTTCCTGCTTAGTGTGAAGAATGAGAGAGAAAGAGATCAGAGGAAAGGCTGAAAGAGGTCATCCAAGAACAGTCCTGAGGAATGGCTGACAGAGTAATGTCTTAGAGGAGGTAGATGAATTTATCTTAAGAAATAATGTCTCCTTGATTGAAGCATTATTTACAATAGCCAAGTTATGGAAGCGGCCCAAGTGTCCATCAACTGATGAATCGATAAAGACGTGGTGCACATATATATACAATGGAGTATTATTCAGCCATAAAAAAAAGAATGAAATCTTGCCATCTGCAATAAGAGATGGAGCTAGAGAGTATTACGCAAAACAAAATAAGTCAAAGAAAAACACATGCTATAGGACTTCATTCATATGTGTAATTCAAGAAATAAAACAAAGGAACAACAACAAAAAAAGAGAGATACAAACCAAGAAAGAGATTCTACAGAGAACAAACTGATGGTTATCAGAGGGGAGGTAAGTGGGGAGATGCATGAAATAGGTGAAGGGGATTAAAGAGAACACTTATCAGGGCACCTGGGTGGCTCAGGTAGTTAAGTGTCCAACTCTTTTTGTTTTTTTAATCTTTATTTTTGAGAGAGAGAGAGAGAGACAGACAGTGCAAGCGGGGGAGGAACAGAGAAAGAGAGGCAGACACAGAATCCAAAGCAAGCTCCAGTCTCCAAGCCGTCAGCACAGAGCCTGATGAGGGGCTGGAACTCAGGAACTGAAAGATCATGACCTGAGCCAAAGTCAGACGCTTAACCAAGTGAGCCACCCAGGCTCCCCAAGTGTCTGACTCTTGAGTTTGGTTCAGGTCATGACCTCAGGGTAATGAGATCAAGCCCCTGCGTTAAGCTCTGCACTGAGCGTGGAGCCTACTCAAAATTCTCTCTCTCCACCCCTTCCCTATGCTCTCTCCCTAAAAAGAAAGAAAGAAAAAAAATGAGTATACTTATCATGATGAGTACTGAGTAATGCAGAACTGGTGGATCATATTATACACCTGAAACTAATATAACACCATATGTTAACTACATTGGAATCAAAATTAAAAACAATAATTTTTTAAATGTCTCTTTCTCATTAAGGAAATTATTTAGAAATGTCTTTAAAAAATTGTTTTTCTGTTATCATAAATAGGAAAGAGGCCAGAAATTACAAGAAACCTTAAAACGGAAGGCAGAGCTGGAGGCAGGTCTGATTGGCTGGCGGCGGTGAACCGTGAGGCACGGTATCCACTGAAGACGAGGACACAGACACAAGCAATGGGTGTGGACTAGGCGGCATGGGACATGCAGTAGAGAGTAACTGAGGACTCTGTCCCCGTAGGAACACCCAGCTGAGGCTGAATAAAATGAAAAGCTCACACCTTTCTCTAGCAAAGTTCAGAACAGAAATGGGAGGGTGGGGGACGACGGGGGTGAAGGCGAAGATAACCTGTGGGATTTAGCTGAAGATTTAGAAGGAAGGAGATGCAGCATCCAGCCACAGAGTCCCAACGTGTGCAGCATTACTGAAGGTGATGTAAGTGACCTCATCTTCATAAAGTAAAATAGTCACATATTTATCAAAGATTCTCAGATCTATGACCTGATTTCATCTTCCCCACAGAGCTGAGATAATAAGATGTTTTTATGTTTTTCACAGATATGGAAAGACTTCAGAAGACGGATCTCAAGTCACCCAGCAGATCCCACTGCACAGCCGGCAGGTGTAAGCCTCCTCCTCCTCCCCCTCCTGCACATGCCCCCCTCGGCAGGCTTGTTTTGAGTCAGTTGCCCAGGGGTCTGTCCTCATATCAAGGCAAATAGCACCAATACAGGCTCGCTTCATTCTCACACTCCCTTTGGCCTTCGTTTCTGGGTATTATAGAAGGAACACACTCCGTCTCTTAAACTTCAAAATCTTAGATAGATAAAATGACAGGACAAATAAAAAGAGTGTAAAAAAGAATTTAAATAAGATAAAAAATTTAAAGATTAAAACACATTTAATATTTACTATGTATAGACCAGTTACTCAAACTGCCTGCTTTCTTAGGGCAAGCCAAACAAATCCTCATATACGGTCTCTAAAGCTATGCTTCCAAAGTGTAGAGGCAAACTCAATGTTTCTTTTTCCTTGTAAGATTCCAATTTAAAAAAAACCCAAATGTCCATGAGCTAATACATGGATAATAAAATGTGCATCCACACAACAGAATTAATATGCCACAGTGTAAAGGGACACATGTCACAACATGTATGAACCTCAAAAACATTATGCTAAGTGACAGAAGCCAGTCACAAAAGGCTGTTTGATACTGTTTGATCCCACTGGTATGGACTGTCCCGAGTAGGCGTATGGATCGAGATGGAACAGAGATGAGTGGCTGCGGGCAGAGCTGGGAGGAAGTGGGAAGTGACTGCTAACGAGTATGAGGGTTCTTTCTGGGGTGATGAAAATGTTCTAACATTGTAGTGACAGCTGTACGATTTTGTGAACATGCCAAAGACCATGAAATTGTTTACTTACACATGCAAATTGCACAGTATGTAAATTATATCTCCATAAAGCCACTAATGTGCATAATGAAGAGGGAGTTCCACTGGATACAGGTGCATGTGTGCGGAGACACACACACACACACACACACACACACACGTACAGAACTAAACAAAATGTGAAACAGAATATAAGAGCTTACCTTAAAGACATTTCTTAGTGGTTTAATAATCTTCATATTTTGGTGATGCTAATAAATCTGGCTGAGGCCAAGACCTCCAACAAACTCACGCTCCTTCCCATCCTCCCACACCAGATAAATACACATCTGGCCACCATGCAGCTCCTCCCACACTTTCTTCCATTCCCCCACCTCAAATGTGTCCCAGCTCACCCTGGCATTCGCACACATTCAGGCATTCTGTGACTATGGTTAAAAACTAATTCTTACTCACCTGGACCCTGATTTTCCTCCATTTTTACCCTGCATTCCTGTATGATTTGTATTTGATAAAAAAAAAAGAAAATACTGGCTACTGGACTTGAAGGAACAGCCTGATGTGGAGAAACTGGGCAGCAGTACCACACTCTTGGACAAAAGGGACAACTTGCAGACCACCACGTGTTCTTGCCTTACCCAACTCGAGAGATGTTTTTGACTTTGAAAACATTAGGGGTGAGGTGAGAAGATTTTCCCTTCCTAATACCTGAGCCTGAATAATTTGAAACCATTTCCTAAGAATCCCTGGAAAGCAGAGGGGTTTGAGGTATACTCTTCTTATAAAAAAATTCCTCTTAATTTGATGTTTTAGATTAGACAATCTATCATTCTAGAGCACTGTTAATTTTTAAATGAAGAAATATCAAAGATTAAATAATGTCTAAGACACATTGACACAATGGTTGTAGCATTTAAAATTGGTATAATTCACTAAGAAGGCAGCAACACCTACCATGGTCAAAATGGTGTTAAAAATAAATAATTTATTAGAAACAAAAGGGTCTATAAGGAGAGAGTTTAATCACAGCTTTAGGTGTGTAAGTAGAACCCTGGGGAAAATGTAGATATCGAACAGAAACTGAAGGGTTTGGTCAATTATGATACAGAACCATCAGAGAGCTCTGTACCTACTAAAAAAAGAGCTATAAAGATGAGGTAGAAACATGGGTACAAACAGTTTATGATATAAAGTGAATGTCAGAACACAAAAATTATATAAATATATACATACACACACTCATATATATGATTTTACACTAGATCATCTTCTAAAGTACATCGTCTTTTAAAAGTATCATTTAAAGAATGACTCACCTCCAAGTCTCTCCTTTTTAAAGCTTTCCCATCTGTTCTTACTTTCTCAGTTATGTTTTTCTTATTTGTTTTTCTCTCCTCTACACTGTCTTTCTGTTCATTTCTATTTTCTAATATAGTTGTCTTTACCTTCTTCATTCACTGTCTTGACAAAAACATCACTGTCTGCCATGCTTTTTTCCAACACCAGGAAAAATATCTATCTAAAGGGTACAGAGTAGGAAACAAAGCCACCCTACAGCCAATACAATGCTGTCTCACACACTGCCTTGCTTGTTGTCACTGTGGAAGTTACAAAGCAGTAAGAAGAGACTGAAGTGGAAGAGACTGAACCGCCCCATGCCTCAAAGTTACTTTTTAATTGTTCTTGCCTTTCTATCTTAGGTGCACAGGAACAGAAAATAGAAATTTACAATAACTGGGTACTGCAGATTTCTTACCTATTGAATGAGTCCGAGTCTGATGAAGAAAGAGCTTCTTCTTGAATATCAGTACAACTGGAAGAATCATCTGGTCTGTCAGGCTCCATTCTCCCTGGAGATTCCAGCTTTGACTGAGGGAAGTGGTTTGTTATGGGGAGAATAGCTGAGAATTTCATTTTTTTATCTTCCTGTTCTAAAAAGGTAATAGAAAAAGAAACATTTAAGAGTACCATAAAATCTACAACTTCTGTATATTATTTCTACAACATTTAATATTACTGTTTATACTCAGTAAAATGGAAGTTTATATAAAATGGAATCCAAAACCCCAGTGACAGAGAATAAGAATCATCAATCATCACTCCCGTGTGCCATCCAATTATAATGCCCATCCCATGCACTTCCAGATTAATTAATTTGAAACCAAAATTTCCTTTTAAAATCAGGAGTAGTGAACTGTGTAATTCTAATGAAGCTTCTATTTATAGTACTACTAAAGAATTCCTGCATATTTCACAGATCAGAGAACACCCACCAACATATGAAGCACAGTAAAAGAACATTAGAGATTTGATATTTATCACTGAGTGCTATGTGGTAGTGAACCATGTGGAAATTTCTCTTAGTCTGTTAAATGGAATCTAATAATTTACTATGGAAAAGGAAAACTAGTCAGATATTACCAGTATTTCCCTTTGATCCAATACATGTCACATTTCTATGTATCCCTTGTCATAGCCTCAATTTCTCAGGTCTCCTGTTGCAGATAAAAATAAGGGAAGCTGGAGGCATGCACACAGGGTTGGCAAGAATGTGACATAACAGGGACGACCAAATATGTCCCAATACGAGTGCAGAAATAATCCCCACGGAGGGGTTCCTCAGTGCCTGGGGCTCTCCCTCACGGTCTGTTTTAGGACTCTGCTAGGATTTCAGCTGTACTTCTTTAAGCTTCAGGAACTTAGTAAGTCCTTAGCAGGCAAGCCACATGTGCTAATAGTGTAGCACCCCTTTCATGAGTTTCCTCCCAAAGAAGCAGCGCTCTCACACATCAATCACCCAGGATGCCTGCAGACACATGTGATCGACAAAAGACACTAAGGAGAATTGCCAAGGTTTTGTTATAAAGAGAAAATTTATAGTAAAGAATAAGACAGATTCTTTAAAAACAAAAACAAAAAAACCTTTCCAAGTCCACACAGTCAAAAGTTTTCCAAGATTTTTCCAGAAATAGTAAGTTTTTCTTATACTGAAGAACAGCATAGGTCACAAAAGTACAATTAAAAAAAAAAAAAAAAAGCTCTTGATGTTGCCTGGCTTTCAATAAGTAAACCATTACCTCTAATGTTTATCTGGGAAAAGGAAAGATGTTAACCACAACAACCGTCCAGGTGCTCCAGGACCTCCTCTTGTAAACAGACCCCCATGATCACATTAGAAAGAATCAAGCACCTGGTAAACCCAGGGAACCCAGGCAATCCAACACTCCCTGGCCAGGAGAATGCAAGCAAGCTCACAAACCAGAGAGTGGGAATTCTTAAAACTTAACTTTCCTTAAAACTCTCTTTTATTTTTGCACCTGATTTATAATCATCTTTTACTTCTTCCCATATTATATAACTTCTGCAAGATAAATTCCCTCTTGGGGACAAATATCATTCAACAATTTGTGGGCACTGAAAGTCAGTCATCTTTCATGTATCTATCCATCCACAGATGTCAGAACAGGACGTCAAACAGAGCCTCCAAATATGAGGCTCCGGCATTAAACCTCCCCAGAGACATGCAACAAAAACAGATGAAGGAAAAAACAACAGATGAGGGATTTACTTGAGAGAACATGTACCTTGCTGGCTTATATTGGCACTTCAGTGAGTAAGTTTATCCGAAAGGGCAAAAATCACACTTTAGGATGCTATACAAAGCTCAACTCTTCAGTAAGCCTGTGCTCATCTGTCTGTCTCCTCTCTCTCACACTCTCCAGCCCCCTCGGTCATGGGCATTCACGCACAACAATCTACTAGCAGCAATCAGCTCTGCAGGCCACGGACAGTAGTATTTACAGGCATATACTCATAAAGGGCACAATCCTGAGTATAAGCAACTAATCGTTTTCAAGATACATCCAACCAATAGCCAAAACGTTCTCCAGATTAGGATATTAAGCCAGATTTTTTCAGAAGCTAAACTGCTTTCTAAGGCAATCCTCTGACAATGGCACAAACACACATTCAAGTTGTTCACAAAGAACATGAAGGTTTATACTCACGCAGCAACCTACTAAATGACACCAGAAGAACTTTGGAAAAAAAATAAAGAATGTGATAGCACATAAAAAAATAAAAGACTTAGGGATAAATCTAACCAAGGAGGTGAAAAATTTAAACAGTGAAAACTATAAAACATTGTTGAAAGAAATTAAAGACATAAATAAATGAAAGACATCCTATGTTCACAATCTAGAAGACAGTATTATTAAGATATTGGAAGTTACCAATGTAGTCTATAGTTTCAACTCAATCCCAATGCTACTTTTTGCAGAAGCAGAAAAATTCATCCTAAAATATACATGGAATCTCCAGGGACCCAAATAGTCAAAACAATCTTGAAAAGGAAGAATAAATTTGGAGGACTCATACCTCCTGACTTCGAAATTTATAACAAAGCTACCATAATTAAAAGAGTATAGTACAGACATAAGAAGAGACCTTTAGACCAACAGAAAAGAACAGTGAGTATAAAAATAAACCCTCACATGTAGAGTCAACTGACTTTCAACAAGGATATAAGAGCATTCAGTGTGGAAAAGATAGTCTTTTTAACAATTGGCGCTTTATCTATATATAAAAGTATCAAACTGTGGACTCTTACCTTACACCACACACAAAAATTAATTTAAAAGGGATCACAGACCTAAACATTAAGAGCTAAAACAAGAAAACTCTTAGGAAAAAACAAAGAGGAAAATCTTCATGAATGATTCAGCAACAATTTCATGGATATAACACCAAAAGCACAGGCAACAAAAGAAAGAATGAATATGCCAGACTACATTAAAATCAAGCAGCTTTGTGCATCAAAAGAAACTATGAAGAAAGCAAAGAGACAACTGAGAAAATGCTTATAAATACTTGCAATTCATATTCATGAAAAAGGGTTAATATCCAGAATATATAAAGAATTCCTAAAACAACAAAAAACCAATCAACCCAACTGAAAAATAAGCAGAGCATGAACAGACATTTCTCCAAAGAAGAAAAACACATAGCCAATAAGCATGTAAAAAGATACTCCACATCACTAGTCATTAAGAAAATGTAAATCAAACCATATCACTTCTTATCTACCATAATAGCTAGTGTAAAAAAAAAAAAAGGAAAATAACAGGGGTTGGCAAGGATATGTAGAAACTAGAATCCTTAAGCATTGCTGGTAAGAATATAAAAGGGTGCAGCCACTTGAAAACAGCTTGGTGGTTTTTCAAAAGGTAAACACAGAATTACCATACAAATCAGAAAGTCAACTCTTAGGTATATACCCAAAAGAACGGAAAGCAGAGACTTGAACAGATATTTGAACACTAATGTTCATAGCAGCATCATTCACAGTAGCCCACATGTGAAAATAACCCATTACAGATGAACAGATAAACAAAATGTGGCATACACATACAATGGAATATGTGGCCATAAAAAGCAATGACATTTTGATAGAAGCTATAACATGAGGACCTTGAAAATATGCTTATTAGTGAAATAAGTTGACAGAGAAGGACAAATATCAATGACTCCATTTACAAGAGATACCTAGAATAAGCAAATTTCACAAAAAAGTAGAGACTACCAGGGTCTGGCTGGGTAAGGGGAAGAGGGTTATTATTATTTTTAATGGGTACAGATTTTATGCTGGATGATTAAAAAGTTTTGGGTGTAGACAGTGGTGGTGACTATTTTTTAAAAAAATTTTAGGGTTCATTTTTGAGAGAGAGAGAGAGAGAGAGACAGAGCATGAGATGGGGAGGAGCAGAAAGAGAGGGAGAGGACGACACAGAATCCGAAGGAGGCTCCAGGCTCTGAGCTGCCATGAACCACAAGATCGTGACCCGAGCTGACATTGGACACTTAACCGACTGAGCCACCCAGGCACGCCCCAGTGGTAGTGACTGTTATAAAACATTCTGAATATATTTAATGCTACTGAATTGTACATTTATGAATAGTTAAAATGATAAATATTATGTATAGTTTGTCATGATAAAGAAAAAAATAAGGAATTTTCTTGTGCACTTCTCTCCATTATGACTCTGTTTTGTTCACTGGTCCAAATAAAGCCCTGGCAATAGAAATATAATATTAATCTCAAATTTTAAAATGGATCAAAATTAAGGAATGTGCTACATATACGCACACCAAGTATATAAGCTTCAGATGTTTTAGCCAAACATTCCATCCCAAAATAAATACCAGTGACCTATAACGAAAATTATGCTAGAATAAAATTATTTGTAGGATATCTGAAGATATACAGCAATAAATCCTATACTTAGAAAACATCCTCAGGCTGAAACAACTAAGAAACTTCTGATTTATGAATAAATGAAAGATTTCATAAATTTGTCTTCAAGACAGTCTTGTAATCATTTTCCCCACAGTAATAAACTGAGTTTACATTCAACAACTGCTATATGTCTACAGATATTTTTTTCCCATTTCAGATACTTAATAAAAAAGTAAATTCCTGTGACTTTCTTTTCTTTTTATATTAAAAATGAACAGTGAAATTCCACATATTTCTGTTTTTAATTAAAGACTCTTACCCGTGCATAATAGCTTTTCTGTAGATTCATCTTCTTTTCTCATTACTTTTTTGGCTGGCGTTTCAACAGTTTTCTTGTATCCTTTTTTGGCCTGATCCACCAGAAGCCGAAATTCATTCTGATGTTTTTTACCTAAAATTCAGAAGATCTTCTCAGTAAAGCAAGGTTATGTTTGTTATGCTGGCACATGGAGAATCAACAAGTGTACAGGCTTGCTCAAGAACCACATCCTTGGAAAGCACCTGCCGTAAACCTAAAAGCTGGGAACCACACAAATACAAAGGGCTGGGGGTCACGGAAGCCTCTCCTTCTCTCCTTCCTCAGATACAAACATGGAAACAGGATAGTCCTACTTTGCTACTGCAGGTTTTTCCCAAACCCCTTACTCTGAAGGGCTTTTGATGAAGCACAAAAGACATCACTTTCATAAATAATTCCAAAAGACACCATTCTAACTCCCAAGAAACAAAAGAGTACTACCAACATGAAGAACATTAAGTGACTATAAGCGCAGAAGCCTTGAGGAGAGCTGGGTTATAAAAACAAAGAAAATCCATTCCAATTTCCTCTTTTTTCCTTTACGTTTCTTGCCTGTTTCCCATCAAGATCCCTTACCTCCACCACCCCCCGCCAATCACCATATCTCAGGATGTAATTACACCAATCTTCACAAACATCTGCTACTTTGGAAGCAGCTGTACTCCCCACGATACCACCATTGCTGCATAGAACACCTGCTGCTTTCATATCTCTGAAGACAACGTAAGCCTGATCTCTAGGTCACCATTATTACTGTACATTAACTTGCTCAATAAAGAATCACCAGTCATTGTTACAGCACAGGCTTCAGGACATCTCTTTGTGATTCTGAACTGTGGTGCAAATAGCTGAGGATGCATTTTACTTATCTAGCACCCTCAAACACCTAAGATATGGCTCAAAATGATGCCAAAAATCCTGTAAAAATATATTTTAGAAAGACTCATACTGCAGGGGCGCCTGGGTGGCTTAGTTGTTTAAGCGTCCGACTTTCGCTTAGGTCATGATCTCGCGGTTCGTGGGTTCGAGCCCCGCGTCGGGCTCTGTGCTGACTGCCAGCTCAGAGCCTGGAGCCTGTTTCAGTCTGTGACTCCCTCTCTCTCTGACCCTCCCCTGCTCACGCTGCCTCTCTCTCTCTCTCCTAGAAATAAAAGACTAAAAAAAAAAAAAAGACTCATACTGTAAATAGTTAAAGTTCTGAGATTTACAGATACAGTAACCAACATTTTCCCTGTGGCACACACTAAGAACAATTGAGTGTAGGAAAAAATGTGTGCTTTTATTGAAAACTATGCATTTTCTAGAGCTCTCCTTCCAAGATTCCAAGCATTCACTGCCTCTGAGCTCTCTAAAGTGTAGATAACTGATGTCAATGGAAAATAATTCTTGTCTATAGACATGCAAAATCCTGTCTGGTGAAGGTTCAGTTGACTTCTCTCTCCACTGTGGAAGAAGCCAGTTTTGTCTCTATTTGTACATTGATTTCAATAGACCTGATCTATAAATGTGACTGTTCTTTGGACACTAGGGAGAGGCTGCTCCTAATCCCAATATATTTATGTGTATGTACATGTGAAACTCCCAGTGAAACTAACATGTTGGGTTGTAAAGTATCTGGTAAATTTTAAATTAAGAGACTGGTTAAAACTTCAGCAAAAGAAATATGGGCTGGCTACAAAGATTACTGGGAAAAGTTTGCTCTTTAGAAATAGGTGAGATCCTATCTAGGCAATAAGCCTAGGTGATTTCTTTCAGGTCCTATTTAACTCTATGCATTTGAGGATAATTATTTTGTACTTCCTTCAGCTCCCCAGAAGCAATGGGTGAACACCACCACTGACACTATGTAGTTTGTGAGGCTAGGGTAACATAGCACCGTGGGGTCTGCGTAATTTAGTCAGACCTGGTCTAGGCCATTTTCCCAGTAAGGCCACTGTGTATCTATGAATTATGGGTGTAAGACTTACTTAAGAAACTTGTTCAAGTAATCTCATTAACAGTTAAGGAGGCTTAATGACTTTCTCTTCTGAAGTAATAAAATCCCAGGTTTAAAAGAGATTTTCTTTGTTCAGTCTTATTACCCCTTCAGCTAGGCTGGAAACCAAACAGTAAATGGCAGCCACTGCTCTGGCTTTGACCCAAGAGGAACAATAACCCTGGCTCAAAAGATGAACAATGCCAAGAGATTATGACTAATGAAATTGTTCCCATTCATCTCTTCACCTCATTTTAGGAGCTGTGCCATCTGGCAAGAAGTTCCTTAGAGTTTAAAATCTTGGTTCTGCTAATTAGATGCCCTGAATTTATCTCTTAAAAATATTAGGTGGCTGACATAATTGTGGGAACTCATGAATGCACTTTACATTCAACCAACTCATATCCTTCAAGATTTTTAATACTTGAATAATATCACCCTTTTGCCTTTCTAAGGTGAAATATCATAATCTTTTCTAGTGCTAAGTCAAGCCATTCGTTCCCTCCTTCACCACCCCTTAACTACTTTCTAAACCATCTTTTATAGCCAGAGTGTCTCTGGCTCTGCTCGTGAACTCAGCGGTACACAAGACCAGACCCAGGCTCTCTCAAGAATGGGACACTCACCCTCTACAGCGATGACACTGAGATACTCACTCATCTACTTGAAGTCACAGAACAAGTTTGGAGTCAATGTCTCTTAAAGTACAATTTCATACATTTTTTTCCCACAAACCTCCTAGGACACCCAAGCAGCTAACCCTGGATGGAGAAGAGAGTAACGGTAATGGCTAACGCTAAGGGCTTGTTCATTTAGCCCTGAACTGAACACTCTCACTTTATTTCGTGATGTAAACCTAAAATTGGCACTCAACACTGCTGTACAACTTTTCCACCTTTCTCTAGCAAACTCTGCTTTACTATTCTCCATAATGACCATTTCAAGCTTTTGCATACCTGCGACCCCTCCCTGCTCAGCTGGCCTCACACTACTTTGAAAACATAGAAACATTCTAACAGGAACTTTATCATCTTCCAACTACCATTAATTCATCTGTGCACATACGCTCTATATTCCTTGAATTTCATGAAAAATGACTGTCCTTGCAGCAATTTAAGGCCAACCTCTATCTAACTTACGCTCTGGAGTCCATCACTAAGGCCTGCTCAAATATGTAGCATCTGTAATTAACCTCTCTCTTTCTTACATCATCAATTTCCCACTGGCATATAAATATGCCTGGGACTGTTCTGCTGAAAGTGAGAGTGTGGGTTATGAAAACAATTAGGTAGAGACCAGCATTTTTTCTTAGTGATATAAAGAGTATAAAGTGCCAGAGTACATTAAAAATGGAAAGAGTAAGCAAACGAGATGTCCTTCAGTAGCTGAATGGATGAACTATAATATATCTAGACAATGGAATATAATTCAGCACTAAAACAAAAAGCACTATCAAGCCATGAAGGAACTTTAAATGCACATTGCCCAGTGATAGAAGACAATGTGAAAAGACTACATACTACAGGAGGCCAACTATATGACATTCTGGAAAAGGCACAACTATGGAGACAGTAAGATCAGTGGTTGCCAGGGGTTTTGTAGCTGGCAGGGTATGAACTGACAAGACGCAAAGGACTCCCTAGGGCAGCAAAAATACTCTGTAGTATATCACAGTGATGCACGTCCTGACATCTCTGTCCAGATCTATGGAATGGACAACACCAAGTGTGAACCTTCAAGTAAAGCATGGACTCTGGTGACTATGATTTCAGGGGAGGTTCATTACTGATAACACCAGAGGTGTGTGTGTGTGTGGGGGGGCGAGTTTGATAATGGGAGAGGCCATGCATGCATGGGGGCAGGAGATATATGGGAACTGTAACATTCCCCTGCTCTAAAAAAATAAAGTCTTAGAGAGAGAGAGAGAGAGAGAGAGAGAGAGAGAGAGATGCAGTACAGACAGCTTGGATAACCAACTGGTTTTGGAACTCAATTATCCCACTACTTACATTTTTTCAAAGTCAATAAAAGTTTGAGACCAAAATGATGGATAAAAAATTTTTCTTACATTGGAGACATGTAAGGCTGGGAAGGGGGAATGTGAACATCATCTGAAAATAGCTGAATATAACCTTAAAAAAAGGGTAAATATTGCTTTCTAAAACTTTTACTTCAGTAACGTGTGTATATAGTTAGTAATGATATAAAATATAATTTTCACTGTGGGCTGCAGTCAGAAAGATCAAAAGACACTAGGTTAAGTATTTCCCAACTTGAAAAACAAACAAAACCATCTCTTGATCAACACCCACCTCCAGCTACCCCCTCATTTTTCTCTCCCTGACAGAGTAAAACCTCCCCAAGAGCTGTCCACCTTAGTCTCACTTCCTCATCTCCAGTTTCGTCTCATGGACACCCATAGCTTCTGACACCTTCCTTCTTAAGAAACTGTTCTGTGCAGGGGCGCCTGGGTGGCTCAGTAGGTTAAGCGTTCGACTTCGGCTCAGGTCATGATCTCACGGTTCATGCGTCTGAGCCTGCTTCGGGCTCTGTGCTGACAGCCAGCTCAGTGCCTGGAGCCTGTTTCAGATTCTGTGTCTCCCTCCCTCTCTGTCCCTCCCCTGCTCACACTGTCTCTCTCTCTCTCAGAAATAAATAAAAATCATGAAAAAATTAAAAAAAAAAAAAAAAAGACCCATCAAACTCTTCTGTGGAAATTAGCTTGCTGCTTCTGAGCTGTGCAATGCACAAGTCAGTCGCTTAACCAACTGAGCCACCCAGGAGCCCCTAAATTAGCTACTTTTTATTTTTATTAAAAAAAATTTTTTTTTTTAATGTTTTATTTATTTCTAGCAGAGAGAGAGAGAGACAGTGTGAGCAGGGGAGGGTCAGAGAGAGAGACACAAACTCTGAAACAGGCTCCAGGCTCTGAGCTGGCAGTCAGCACAGAGCCCGACGCGGGGCTCGAACCCATGAACCGCGAGATCATGACCTGAGCGAAAGTCGGACGCTTAACCGACTAAGCCACCCGGGCACCCCAATTAGCTACTTTTTAAACAAACAGCATTTTTACTTGAAAAAACAGTAGACAAACTGATTATTTACACTTGGGTAATAT